CTGTGCCTCTAACCATGTACTATGCAACACAGATTGCCGCGACGGTATTGAACAATCACCTCTGTGGCGCCCTATTGGACATGATAGGATCGAAGCTAGCTGCTGCAGTTTCGAATGTGCCCGGGGCGTCAGAAACCATGTATGTAGGCACGCATAAACTCAACAAACTTTGCTTCTAGGTGCCACAAAGAGGCGATTGTGGTGTGGGGTTCTCTATTATTACCCAAGGGGGAAAAGTAACCGTTGGTTGTATCATGGATGCCGGATGTGAGGTGATGAATGCACTGGAAGAAATGCACGAAAAAGTTGTCGCCTAAATACATATAAACAACCAGTTCAGCAAAAGCGTGCAGCAATCAGCACAAATTGATTGTGCATATAGAAAGAATCTTTATTATTTATGTCCTGTAGGCGCGCCCTATTCTCCAAATTACAGCTTTATGACTACGATCATTATATAAATAGGAAGTATGAGATCAGATTGCACTTTTCTGAGTCATTTCTTGAACGCTTGGCAGCACTTTGAAATAGAGGAATCGATCTCATGACTCTCTAGGGAAGAATTATTAAAATATGCCTGATCGGACTATTTCCCAAAGGCCATCGACCGGTCACATTGCGAAGTGAATGTATACTATCGTCAAGAATACAGATATACATAAATACGAAGTAAATTCTCACGGTCTTAAACAATCAGCAATCAAACCTGAACGAATAACTCTGAATTCATATTGTAGCCATCGGTTATAACTTCATATTTGATATTTGATGTCTCGTATGTAGTCTATGTTGTATGTACAACACCCGTCTGATTTTAGGTTTTTGTGGATACATTTATTTCAGATTATCAGTAATCAATTCTGTAAATCAGGGCGACCATTTTCTTTGTAGAGGTGTCGCGGCTAAGCATTAGTTAGCCTCGACACATCTACAGTCCTCAATCAAGCAGTTCAGGGTCTTCAAGGCGGACGTTTGGTTAGTGCAAGTTCAATTTTTAAAATAGTGTGTAGTAACAATGCAATTATACATTCGATTCACTTCACCCAACCTCCTATACAAGTTTTTACATCCAAAGATGAGTTTGTAATAGAGCCATAAGTCTTATACTTGGCCAGTACAAATTGAATCGCAATATTTAATAAGAATTTAAATTGGCTAACATCTAGCAGTCCCTTTCTGAGAATACTACAATGTCTTCGAGATAATCATTTCCACAGACATCAAAAATTTATTTGGACCGCACAACGCACGGCATGGTCGTTCGGGCTCGTCTGATGCCATGGAGCACAGGCCTTGCGAGTGCACCAAAAGCCAGCTTTCTCAAGCAGCAACCATAACTCCGTCACTACGTACTATCGAACATTTGGTCTCTATTCCTTCTTGGGTCAACGGAATGCACGGGATATGTCATCGTTGAAAGGGCCGCGCCCGCAAAAGTAATTGATTCTTCCCATCAGATAGTACAGAGACAATCTTACCAATCTGAGTCTCGCACCCGGTTTCGATAGCTGAACAATGGATAGGCCTGCGAGTGCGACGAATGGATAAGCCTGCGAGTGCGACGAAAAATTATCCTTATTGGCACACTGTCGGGCAGCGATACTGATAGTTTGCATGCATAGCACTACACCACTGGTCCTATCAGGGTCATGAAGGGCAATGCAAACAGTATAATCTATTCCATTTGCTGTTGTTGACTCATGATATGCACTCATGATGACTCTTTAACCGACAATTTGGCAACCTCTTCCGTCAGATCCTCCTCCGCTTTCGCCTCGTCAGTGCCTTGTGCACCAGCCTTGTTCAGGTCTTTCGCCTCGTTGAATGTGGTTTTGTACTTTTGTGCAGCTGATATGTAATTCGGGAAGAAAGTATTAATAGCCGAAATTGGGACATTAATCAAGCAAATATTCAAAAAAAAAGGAGCTTTTGAAATTGAATCAAATCGTTCGGATTGCACAAACGCAAGCTAGTAGGAGCGGGATAACAGAAGAACTTGAAATGTAATGCAAACAAGAATAGTTTTGTGTTTACCAGGATGTAACCGAGTATCTCCTCGATTGAAACTAGAAAGGGCGAAATCTACTGGTCTTAATTTTAAACTAGACGGCGGGTGATATACAGTTTCCATGTATGACGATAATAGATAGTGCACTACATACCTTCTTCATTGCGGAAACGGATAGCAAGCGTCTCTGGCTTGAATTCGCCATCCGAATAATCTGCCAGACAGACGTACGTCCAAGTTGTATCTGACCCTTGGTGCTCCTTCAGTTCCATATCATCGGTGATCACATGATTCGCGCAAATCTGAGACAAAAGCGAATGCGTAGATGAGCTATCTGACTTGTCTTACAACATGTAGAAGTTTGGCTTGGTCCTACGAAAAGTAGATGAACATTAAAGCACTCTGATATCTACATGCCAACAGATTCGCACTATGCTGTAGTGGCAATATACCAAGAACCTGCGCTGAACTATCAATTACGAATAACGAACACTTACAACACCACATGATGGCAGCATGAGTACATTTAAATATCACAAATCTCCAATGGAAGCTCACCTTTAGCGTTTTCTCTTGGCGCATCAACACCCTCACAACACCCCTTTCCTTGTGCTTCAATAGCTTCACATCACCGGTGCCCCTTTCCTTCCACTGCATTTCTTCGGACTCGAGGGCTTGTCCCCATCGGTATAATCTGGCGCGTAAGCAAAGCAGCTACGGAATAGAACATAAATTGAGTTACGACGGAAACGAAAGAAAATAAGATTGAGTCCTCAGCAAGCCCTTCCTTCAGACTATATGCATTTGAGACCTTGTTGAAGATACACATCATCCGATATCAAAAGACTACAAAACCCCAATATATGAGCGTCCTGGACTTTGCTTTGCATTTGAGCACACTATGGTACCACTATAGAAGACAGCTCGCGCATTAAAAAACTTGCTGATGAATCGATCTCGGACAGATTTCCCACATAGGCAGGGCTTCATCCTCGAATCAGCTGCGCACAGATTGGAACACTCGACACAAATATAAAATAATTCAAACGTTCGTCGGCCCATACAAACAATGTCGGCTGCACACGAAGAGCCTACCTCATCTTCGTCCTCTTCCAGTGTTTTAACATCCACTTCTTGCAACTTCACGAGTGGTTCGAAGTATACGTTGGCTTCCTCTTGCGGCACTAGATCGTGATGTCCAGACTCATCATCACCAGCCTGGTTGTCTCCTTGTTTACTCTTGTTCGAAGATACGCTCGAGCGCTGCAGGGCACATCATAGAAATGATATAAGCGGCGAACAAATTCCCGTACAAGGCAATGTAGATCTTATTCTTGAACTTTAATTAGTATGAAATTCGAATTGCAAGTTTGAAACTAAACACACTATACATCCGCTCAGCTAAAACATTAGCTGCATGCCCATCCGCATATAACAAGTAGATTTAACTGCTACATTTGATTTCGAGGTACAATACCGCACTGTAAGATAGTATTTTCCTAAACTGAGGGTAATCCACAAAAATCAAACGCATTACACAGACGAAATAATATGATTTAACTTGAAAAATAATTCCAAAACATGTTCATAAGCAAACGATTGATATATGAGGGGAGTTCCATAGGTCACAATATATATGCAAGGATGTTTGCATCTAAAAAGCCTCAAATATACCTCCATAAAAGACCATTAATTTCCCAAGTACCGAGGCATTCAGAAAGACGTTAAACGTACTAATATATG